AGCAGATTTTTCACCAAGAGTCGCCTTATGTCTTCGTGTATGGTGGCCATGGGAGACCTTTCCCTCCCATTTAGATGCCCAATGAGTAATAGCAAGAATTCTCCACATTTCAACCTGGTCAAAGTACGTTTCTTGGAATGGGGTAAAACAGAACTGATATCTCTCTAACACAATTCACTTGGCATTAGTTACTTATACTAGGTTACCTGTTCAGCCCTATTATAACAAAGGGCATAGAAACATATGGAGTTTTTTTTTTTTTTTTTTCCCTCAACATCTCTTTAAATTAGAGAGGAACAAATTCTTCAACTATAATTTTGCATCTTCTTACAAAAGGGGTAACTTTTAGGTTTTAAATACAGAAAAAAATGGGAGGGCTAAAACCATGTGGCTGCCACTGGAAGCTGATTGAAATCCTATTGTTCGACAGTTTTAAGCTTACTCCAACAAAATCATTCACCCTTACAGGTAACTTTTTATTTATTTATTTTGATTGAACAAGAAAAACTTCAAACTTTTCACAACCAACAACATATAACATGTCTGCATTCAAATGTGGATAAACAGTGTCCTAAGCAGAAGAACAATCAAACAATAGATTGCATTTTTAAAACTTTAATCCAATATCAAGGATGAGCATTGAAAGGAATATCGTGTAGGAGAAAAAGGATGAGTAAATCAAATGAAAAATAAGAGAAACCTGAGATTTTCATCCACTTGCTTGTCTCTTATGGATCTGCAACTTCCTCAATACCATTGTATGCCTCAAAATCCTGTAAACAATAGCCATACATGCATATATTACAAGATTAATCATCAAAAATTAAATAAATTAAAATAAAAAAAAATAATAATAACTTTCAATGGCTGAAAAGTCTAGGACAATGGGTGCCAAGCTGAAAGGATATAAGGATTCCCTATAATTAGGAAATGAACCGTCTGGGTTTAATCATATCCAACTTTTTTATGACTTTCATGTCTCCTCAATTCCGGTACATTGCACAACAACCATCCTAATCCAACAGGACTAGATTCTAGTAGGGATTTGATTATAGGCAAAAATAACTTCTACTTTTGTATTTACAATATAATTTTTTTTATTTAAAAAACTAATAATAAGGCTTAAAAAGAGTTTAAGGGTACTTAAATAACACTGCTCCTTAAGAAATGATGGATATTTTTCGTGGCCCAAGTATCAAACTATTTTGGGTTTTATGCAAGGGAAGTGATTTTTAAACCGCGATCTGATTGATCTGTAGCCTCCAATCTCCATTATTAAATACTCCTATTTCGTATTTAAAAACATCTTTTTTATAGCCCATTTAATACCCAAAAATACCCTTTTAATCTTAATTAGGTTTTTCTTTTGCACCCATTTCCCCAATTTCAATTTTAGAATCAAAACTTGACTCTTAAGTTATGCGAAATCTGATAATTCTATGTTGAAATGGCAGTTGGATTTTTGGGTGTAGGATATCTAGCAGTTTTTGAAATATATTTTCATTGGTTTATAATAATGTAGATTTAGGGTTTATGCAAAGAATTAAATGTTTAACAGCGTAGATGTAAGTAGAAATCATAGTATATTTTTTTGTAACTGTGTTTAAGATTAAAAATGTAAAATACTAAAAACTTTTAAAAAGAGGAGCTATTGATCAATTTGATGGAGGCCAAAAAAATCAATTCTCAAGTGTCAAATTTTGAGGTATAGAATGAACTTTCTAAAAGTTGTAATTTCAGCTACAAACCTTCGTTGTGCCTCGTAGTTTTGTTTTGGGTTTGGGTCTCATTCACAAATCTAATTTAGATGGCACATGTCATAATTCATCCTAATCTATTATTAGACTCACAATGTAAGAGTGCAATTACTACGAGATAACTTTTTGTAAAATTTTCTATTTTTACTATGTGAATTTGCTAAATAATATATTTTGAGAACTTTATTTCAAATGAGTATAAATTCACATTTAAATAAATAAAAAAAAAACTACTAATTTCTATTAAGAATAAATTAAATATTTATTTTTATTAATCCAATAATTTTAAGAGAAAACTTAAAAGTGTATTTATTAACTTGATTTTTTATAATTATATTCTATCACATTAATTTATATAAAAAAACTGTATAAATTTTTTGTAAATATAATACTCTATTATTTATTCTATATTTAATACCAAATTAGTATTACATACGATGTATTTAATTAAACAAAGAACAAAGTTAGATGCTTGACGTAAGATTTCTCGTCATTTTACACGAGCCTAAGCCAAATTGTCTGCTCAAACTCAAATGTTGGAGCCAATAACTCAGCCATTCACAGCACCGTCAACGCCACTTCACCAAAATTCTGCTCCTGCTCGCAACCCCATCAACGTTTCACTTCAAAGATTAAACCCTACTCAACAATCCATGCACCTTCACTCACCCCCGGATCACGCCCATCACTCCTTCCTTAACAAACCTGTAAATTCAACTACATATGCTTCCGTTCTCGAGTCCTGTAAATGCCCAAATTTAGGAAAACAAGTACACGCTCATACCATCAAAACTGGGTTTCGCGGCCATGAGTTTGTAGAAACCAAGTTGCTGCAGATGTATGGTCGGTGTGGTCGTTTAGGGGATGCAAATTTAGTGTTTGATAAAACGCCGCTTAAAAACTTATATTCTTATGCAGCCATTCTTAACTTGTATGAAGATGTTGGATTTTTTATGGAAGCTGTTTCGCTTTTTCAAGAATTGCAAATTGAAGACATTGATTTGGAATTTTTCGTGTTTCCAATAATCTTGAAGATTTGCAGTGGTCTTGCTATGGTAGAACTAGGGAGACAATTACATGGGATGGTAATAAAATATCAGTTTGTTTCTAATATTTATGTGGGTAATGCTCTTATTGATATGTATGGTAAATGTGGAAGCTTAGATGATGCGAAGAAATTTTTGAGTGTGATGACAGAAAGGGATCGTGTGTCATGGAATTCTATTGTCACAGCTTGTGCTGCCAATGGAATGGTTTATGAGGCGTTGGAGTTTCTTGAGATAATGTCTTCTTTGGATAACATAACGCCCAATCTTGTATCTTGGAGTGCAGTTATTGGAGGTTTTGCGCAGAATGGTTATGATGAGGAAGCCATAGGGATGTTGTTTAGGATGCAGGCAGAAGGGCTGCAACCAAATGCACGGACTCTAGCAAGTGTTCTTCCTGCTTGTGCTAGATTACAAAAGCTACAACTTGGAAAAGAATTTCATGGGTATATCACACGGCATGCATTTATGTCTAACCCTTTTGTTGTAAATGGATTAGTAGATGTGTATAGGAGGTGTGCTGATATGGGAAGTGCTTTCAAGTTATTTTCGAAGTTCTCAGTGAAAAATGATGTATCTTGTAACACAATGATTGTTGGCTACTGTGAGAATGGTAACATTTCTGAAGCCAGGGAGCTATTTGATCAGATGGAGCAAATGGGTATCAAGAAAGATACAATTTCGTGGAACTCGATGATTTCTGGATATGTAGACAACTTTTTGTTTGATGAAGCGTTGAGCATGTTCAGGGAGTTGCTTATGGAAGATGGTATTGAACCTGACACTTTCACCTTTGGCAGTGCTCTTACTGCTTGTGCTGATATGGCTTCTCTGAGACTAGGGAAGGTGATACATGCCCATGCTGTTAGCGTGGGTCTGCAATCTAATACCTTTGTTGGTGGAGCTTTGGTAGAAATGTACTGTAAATGTCAGGACCTAGTGGCTGCTCAAATGGCTTTTGATGAAGTAGTTGAAACAGATACAGCAACATGGAATGCTCTGATCTCTGGTTATGCCCACTGCAATCGCATTGAAAGCATTCAAAATCTTCTTCAAAGGATGAAAGAAGGTGGCTTTGAGCCAAATTCTTATACTTGGAATGGTATTATTGCAGGTCATGTGGAAAATGGCCACCATGATACAGCCATGCAGCTGTTCTCTAGAATGCATGCTTCAAATCTGACTCCTGATATTTATACGGTTGGAATTATTCTATCTGCTTGCTCAAATTTGGCCACAATGGAGCGCGGGAAGCAGGTTCATGCTCATTCAATTAGATGTGGGTACGATTCAGATGTCTATATAGGAGCAGCCCTTGTGGACATGTATGCAAAATGTGGTAGTTTGATGCATGCACAGTTGGCTTATAAGAGGATACTGAGACCTGATTTGGTTTCCCAGAATGCCATGCTTACAGCATATGCCATGCATGGACAAGGAGAGGAGGGAATTGCTCATTTTCAAAGAATGCTAGCCAAAGGTTTTAGACCAGACGATGTGAGTTTCCTGTCGGTTCTTTCCTCATGTGTCCATGCAGGTTCCATTGAGATAGGTCACAAATTCTTTGATCTGATGGAGTTCTATAACCTGCGACCTTCGGTAAAACACTACACATGTATGGTTGATCTCTTAAGTCGTGCCGGACAGCTTCATGAAGCTTATGATATTATTAAGAAAACTCCTGTGACACCTGATTCAGTGATTTGGAGTGCTTTGCTTGGAGGTTGTGTTATTCATGGCAATGTTGAGTTAGGGCAAATTGCTGCAGAGAAGCTCATAGAGCTGGAACCAAATAATACCGGAAACTATGTTTTGCTTGCAAATTTATATGCTTATGCTGCGAGATGGTCTGATCTAGTAAGAACAAGACAAAAAATGAAGAATAAAGGAATGCAGAAGAACCCAGGCTGCAGTTGGATTGAAGACAGAGATGAAATACATACTTTTCTTGCTAGTGATAGGTCTCATGAGAGAACAGAAGAGATTTACAACACCTTGAAAACTCTCACTCTTAATATAAAAACACAATTTGAAACCGCTCTGTAAGCACAATGCTGGCGAGGCAAAATATGCAACTAGACCTTTCTAAACTTCTCTACCCGAATAATTAGCATCACTAATACAGATAATATGACACATACATACATGCATCTTTTTATTCTCTGGTCATCGATGAAACTTTTCAATGAGATTACGTATTCAGTATTAGAATTAGTACAGGTCCAGAGATTCTAAAACCCTGCGAGCTTGAATGTGTAAAGCTGTCAGTCTCTCATCTGGATTAAGGGTAGAGCCAAATTGACTTGCTGCCCATATCAATGAAGCAGATTTTTCACCAAGAAGTCGCCTTATGTCTTCATGTATGGTGGCCATGGGAGACCTTTCCCTCCCATTTAGATGCCCAATGAGTAATAGCAAGAATTCTCCACATTTCAACCTGGTCAAAGTACATTTCTTATATGAGAAATGCTACAAGTAGAATGGGTAAAACAGAACTGATATCATCTCTAACACAATTCACTTGGCATTAGTTACTTTATACTAGGTTACCTGTTCAGCCGTATTAATAACAGAAAAGGGCATAGAAAAATATGGAGTTTTTTTTTTTTTTTTACTCAACATCTCTTTAAATTAGGAGAGGAACAAATTCTTCAACTATAATTATTGTCATCTTCTTACAAAAAGGGGTAATCTTTTAGGTTTTAAATACAGAAAAAACATAAGGAGGGCTAAAACCATGTGGCTGCCACTGGAAAGCTGATTGAAACCCTATTGTTCGAAAGTTTTAAGCTTACTCCAACAAAATCATTCACCCTTAACAGGTAACTTTTTATTTATTTATTTTGATTGAACAAAAGAAAATACTTCAAACTTTTCACAACCAACAACATATAACATGTCTGCATTCAAATGTGGATAAACAGTGTGCTAAGCAGAAGAACTAAATCAAACAATAGATTGCATTTTTAAAACTTTAATCCAATATCAAGGATGAGCATTGAAAGGAATATCGTGTAGGAGAAAAAGGGATGAGTAAATCATATGAAAAATAAGAGAAACCTGAGATTTTCATCCACTTGCTTGTCTCTTATGAGATCTGCAACTTCCTCAATGCCATTGTATGCCTCAAAATCCTGTAAACAAGTAGCCATACATGCATATATTACAAAGATTAATCATCAAAAATTAAATAAAAAAATAAAAAAAAACTTTCAATGGCTGAAAAATCTAGGACAATGGGTGCCAAGCTGAAAGGATATAAGGATTCCCTATAATTAGGAAAATGAACCTTCTGGGTTTAATCATATCCAGCTTTTTTATGACTTTCATGTCTCCTCAAATTCCTTGTACAATTGCAACAAGCACAATCCTAATCCAACAGGAGCTAGATTCTAGTATGGATTTGATTATAGGCAAAAAAAAACTTCTACAATAATAATGGTGGGAGAACTTGGGCAAGCTTTGAAAGCCATGAAATTCCTTGGATTTTAAGTACAGCTAAGCATGCTAGAATAATTCTTTTCGATTTCAATCTTTTAGTCTCCAGTGCTCAGCATCCAAAATACTATTCTAACATATTTTGTTGATACTGAGCAAACCGTAACTCCTAATGTATATGACTAAGTACCAACCTCGCAACTAACTGCCTTCAACTTTTTTTTTTTTTTTTGGCTACATAGGGATAAAATATTCCATCATGTTCTGTAATTCGCAACAAAATCCAAGGAACTATAACATTGTTGGCCAACAAAATTATGCTAGGAAACCAAAAAATAGAAGAAAATAAGTGATGAAATACCATTTGATTGGCAGAAGAATCCAGCATTATTGAAATTAGAGCATCCAAGCATGCTCCTTGCTCGAGTTCTCCTCGAGATGACATAATATTCATTAAAACCTGCATTAACCATAAATCTTAAGTTATTATGAGTTTCTAATGTATTCTAAAATCAATTTCAAAAATTAAAATAAATAAATAGAAAAATCAAAAACGAAAACCTGAATGGCCTTGTGCTGATGGGCTAAATCAGTGCTCTCTGTGTGAAGCAAACAACAACCTTCCAAAACCCGAAGCGCAAGAGCAACTTCAGCGTCCGTTGAAGGACTCGTTATCTTCATTGGGTCCACACTGAATATATGATCCAAACTCGTTACTCTATCCTCCACCGACTCTTCTTTAAACGAATGTTGAAACAAAACAGGTACAACTAAAGAACCACAAAATTAAGAAAAAAATAACTGAATTGAATTGAATTAAATTAAATTAGGGTTAATTACTGAATCAATTAATTAAAAATTAAACCTTGAAGATCGGGGAGGGATTGGGAGTGGCAAAAGAGGTTAATAGTGGAGTCAGATTGGGCAACGGAGCGGAGAATTTTGAGAAGAGAACGGAGGCCACGGAGGCGGAGGAAGGAGAAGTCGGCACGCGCGTCACGGAGGCCGTTACGGAGAGCGAGAGTGATTTCACGGTAGAGACGTTGTTTGGTAAGGGAGTTGATGAGCTCTGAAACGGCAGTCGGTTCAGATTCCGTTGAGGAGGAGGTCTGTTTCGACGTCGTTTCGCTCCATAGTGGCTTCTTCAGGTACATTTTTTTTCTCTCTATGCACTCAGGTTCTCTCGCTTAGTGTCTACAACTGGTAGTTTCCTTTTTTCTGTTCTTCTAGGCAACGATACTCTTCATCTGATTCGGATTATCGTTGACTCGTTGTATTCAGATGAATTGATTTTTCTTACCGGGGAGGTAGAAAACCCGGGTATTGAAAATCAGGCCGGGAAATACCAGGTCTGGGTCCGGGCTTTAATTTTAAAAATTACGGATAATTTTTTAAAATTGCGTACAAGCCTCTAAAAATTACATCCAGATCTTTTCATAAAATAAAATTACAAAATAATACCCTAAAAAGGTATTCCGTTAACCCTACATCAGGTAAATTTTGGAAAAACCCTTCGTTTTTAATCCAATTCTGGTTCTAAAGTCTGGGTTGGCCTGGCATGGGTATCAAAACCCCAGACTTTTCACGGACTCGAGCTTGTACTTTTTAAAGGCATTATAGTGTCATTACCCTAGAAGAATTGTGCATCTTTAGTGCACAAGTAGGAGATCAGACACTAAGAACATCTTTAATGGTGTTCTTTATTTTAAAAAATATCTTTCATATAAATAATGAGCATCTTCATTGATTTTTAAATATAAAGAACAAAATTTTTATTCAAATCCAATAAACTCTTTAAATTTTAAGAGAGATAATATGTTTTTTCAAGAAAAAAATATAATAGGAGAGATAAATTATAAATAAAATGTATAGAAACTTGTAATTTATTATTTAAAATTAGGATAGAGAGTAAAATTTGACTCTCTAAATGTGGAGAGTCAAATTCACTCTTTAATTTATATTTAAAGAATAAAGAGTCTGTTGGACTCTTGTTTCTATGGATAAATTCTTTATAATAAAGAGTTTGAGTCATTTAAAGAGTCATTTGGAAATGCTGTAAGTAAGTCTAAGTAACCCACAAACTCTCAAAGAAAAATAAGAACACAAAGAATAAAAATAGAGATAAAAACTTTATTGTATTGCCCTCAATGAAATACAATATTTGAAATATGAAAATAACCTACGACTAGCTAGCTTTATATAGGACTTTACAAGTAGATCTGACGGTGTAGATCCATACACATTCATTAAGATTAATAGCTAGAATTAATTTTACAAGCAATAGAATCCTAATCATATTCTACTGCATTTTTTTTTTTTTTTTGTGAAAGAACATTCTAGAAGCTTCTAGAAAGATTTTTAAGCATATTCTTTGATGCTTTTGGGTCAAGTCTGAGTCAAGCTTCTTGAACTGAATCTTGGGCCTCGTATGGACTTGGGCTTGGGTTGGATGTGACATTCTCCCCTACCTAACATCACGATGACCTTATTGCGAAGCCATATCATGAAACTCCGAATCTTGCTTTCAAACTGCCAAAGTTCAACTCATATCATAATTATACTTGCAAACCACCATTTTTTTCTAGAATGGCCTTGATGTCCTTGTTGTAGACGGTAGTGGCGCCAAATGGTATTCTCTTGGGCTCGTTTCTATCAAGATCTTCCATGTCTGCATGATAAGGTTTCAAACAACTCACATTGAAGAGTAGGTGAAACTTAAGTATCGAGGGTAGGCCTAACTGATAAGCGATGTTTTTTAAGCTCTTTTAACAATGGGAAATGTGCCATCATACTTCTGCAGCAGTCCCTTATGAAGTAACTGTGTTAATTTGGGTTGACTAGCCAAAATCTTCACAAACACCATGTCCCTATAGGGAACTCAACATGTCTCCATTTATTGTTCGCCCATTTCTTCATCTTCTTAGTTGCCTTACTCAAATACAACCGTGAAATATCTGTTTGCTTGTGCCAAGTCTTAGCAACTTTGAATGTCGAAAGACTCTTACCATTGTAAGTCTTCTCAGTAGTGTACGATGTAAGAGGTTGTCCCATAATCATCTCAAATAGACTATGATTGATAGCTTCGTTGTGTTTCAAGTTGTAAGAAAATTGCGCAATACCCAACAACTTCACCCAATCTCACTGATTAACGCTCACAAAATACCTCAACTACAACTCTAGGAGTGCATTCACCCTCTCGGTTTGCTCATCTGTCTTCGAATGAAAGCTGGTGGAGAAATACAATGCAGAGCCCATGAGCTTGAAAAACTTTGTCCAAAACTTCCTAGTGAATCGTGAGCCTCGATCATTGACGATGGATTGTAGTAGTCCCTAGTACTTCACTACATGCTTGAAAAATAATTGAGCAGTGTCTTTGGTTGTGCATAGTTTTAGTGCCACCATAAAGGTTTCATACTTAGAATATCAGTCCACCACCACAGTAATCAAATCACACCCCTTAGAAATTGATGTTGTGGTGATGAAATCCATGCTAATACTCACCTAAGGTCTCCCGGGTGTTGACAGTGGCTCGAACAATCCTTACAGGTGTTTATTCTCTGTCTTGTCTTGTTAGCAAACTAGACAAGTCATCATAAACTGTTCCATCTCATCTCACATATGTGGCCAATAGTAGGTTGACTTTAGCAAAGCTCTCGTGCATCTCTGCCCCACATGTACTGCCCACTTTGTTATAGCATTGCTTGATCAAGTTCTTCAACATGTTTTCATATCTCAAAACATAAACTCGCTTGCCCTTGGTATAAAGAAAATCATCTTTCATCCAAAACTACTTGATCTTGCCTTCGATCTCTGGCAAGAGAAGTTGCCTGACTAAAAGGTCATGCTTTATCCCAACTTTGATAGTGCCACGCCCACGGCCCCACACAGGAGTTCCTCGCGGTGCTGCCTGATAGTACTCACCATGCTTCCCAATTGACTATAGCCCCTTGGTCTTGGGTTCGAGTGGTGGGAGAGACGAAAGAAATCCCTTAAGGGGGGGCAGTACCTAGTGAGTCACGTACCTATGTGGGCACCGCGAGGAACTCTTGTGTGGGGTCGCGGGCGTGATAGATAGCTTCAATAATCCCCTCGTGCAACTTGTTCATGGTTCCTTGCTTAACCTTTCTAGTCAAAGTGTTTGCCACTACATTTGATTTTCTCAGATTGTATTGCAAGATATAGTCAAACTCAACCAAGAAATCTTGTCATCTTGCAAGCAATATATTATAGTGGTCATCTCCTTTTCTTGAACGGTATAACATCTCTCCATTTCATTGACATTTTTACTCTCAAAAGCTAAAGGATGTTTTCCTTGCATTAAGACACCTCCAATGGTAAAGTCAGAACTATCAGTGTATACCTCAAGGGTAAGGAATAATCCGATAAGACGAGCCTAGGTATTTCTATCACCACTTGCTTCAAATCATCAAAGGCTATTTGGCACTATTCAGACCACTCCCAAGCATTTGTCTTCTTCAATAGGTTGGTAAGTGGAGCAACTTTTGCTAAGCAACTCTTGTTGAATTTGTGATAGTAATTTACAAGCCCCAAAAAAGAACGCAACTCTGTCACTTTCGTGGGTTCTCATTCCTCTATGGCTTGTATTTTTCCCTTGTCTGTTATAAGTTTGGCATCTCTGATCTTGTGGCAAAAAAAGTCTTATTCTGGTTGGGCAAATGAACACTTGTTCTTCTTGACGTAGAGCTCATTGTCTTGCAACACCTTGAAAATGGTTCAGAGATGTTCAACGTGCTCTTCGAGCGTATTATTATAGATGAGGATGTCGTCAAGGTACACTACCACGAACTTGTCTAAGTAAGGTTGGAAAATATGGTTAAAAAATGTACAAAAAGTGGCTGGTGTATTTGTAAGTCTAAAGGCATTACAAGGAACTCATACTCCCCATTACAAGTCACATAAGTTGTCTCTGCTTCATCATCCTCAACTACTCTCACTTGGTAGTATCAAAACCTCAAATCAAGCTTTGTAAAATATTTGGTCTGTCCTAATTGATCAAACAAGTCAACAATCAAAGGAATAGGGTACTTGTTTTTGATGGTTACCTTGTTCAATGCTCGGTAGTCGATACACAATCGTAATGACCCATCATGCTTCTTCTGAAATCAAACCGGAGCTCCATATGGCGCTTTAGATGGCTGGATGAACCCCGACTCCAGCAAATCTTTGAGCTGTCTTTTCAACTCGTCCAGCTCAGGTGGTGACATTCGGTAAGGGGCTTTCGCTGGTGGTTTGGCTCCAGGCTCGAGCTCAATTTGGTGATCCATCTCTCTCTTAGGTGGTAATCTCTTAGGCAATTCTTGTGACATTACACATTTGTACTCCTCGAGTAAATTGATAATCTCTCTCAATACCTCCCCTGCTAAGTCATCACTCACATCATCCACTATGCGTAAAGTGGCCAAATATGTGGCTTCTCCTTGATTGGCATATTTCTTTAGTTGCATTGGTGAGAGAAAATATGGTTTGTCACTTGGCTTCATTCCTGTGGACTTCGTCACTGTGGGAATCATAAACGGGTTTCCCTCCAAGATCTAAACAATGTTGAACCATGACAAATGGCACAAAGTTAAACTACCTGAGGCATTTCATACCAAACGCAATGTCAAAATTATCAAGAGGAACAACTTAAAGATTTACCTTACCAGTTTATGTGCCTAAGTGTAGATCCACATCACGTACTGTATCATTGAGAGGCTTCACTTTAATATTCACCATCTTCAATCAACTGCTCTCGTTGTCAACCTTGAGGCCTAGCCTATTGGCTTCCTCCTCCCGAATAAAGTTATGAGAAGCTTCTGTGTCTAACATGAGTTGAGTAGCCTTCCCATTGGTGCGGGCTTTTGTATACATGAGGGATTTCTCATTCGGCTTGAATGGAGTTGGATTTGCTTTCAAGGCATTGAGGAGTTGTAAAGACCACATTTAATTCTTCTCACCCAATTCATGTTCAATGATGGCATTAAATACACTTTTTTTCGGACATTTTGACTGCCAGTGTGGACCATTGCATATGAAACAATTGTTCCGAGGCTTGGTTACTCTTTTGCCCTTATTCCACTCTCTCTTGGTTGGTGTCATTGGAATGAGAATCTTTTGCTTCCCTACCTTTGACAAACTTTGATTTGGAATGTTTCTGTTTAGAGGAAGAGTCACGTCTTCAATAATCTTGGAGAGTCTTCACAATTGTCATGGTTGAGGACACATCTTTTGCCATATGCCTTCGTATTTCTTATTGAGCCCAATTTTGGAGTCTATCCAAAAAAAATTGAGGAGCAAATTGTCCTCACTCTTGTTATTGATATTCAAAATTAGCCTGGAAAACTTTTCGACATAGTCTACTATGGAATAAGTGTGTTTCAAATCTTTCATTCTCTTCCTTGTGCCATGAGCCATATTTCAAGATAGAATTAGTGTTTCTATTCCTTCTTTAGATCCTTTCATGTCTTAATTTTATAAGTCCCACTTTTTATCTCAACATACTTCCTATGCCAGCAACTAGTAGCAAAGTCCTAAAGATACATAATGGCTTGATTGACCTTTCTTTTTCATCAAACAATTTGATTACATCGAAGTAGCGCTCCATGTACCAAAGGAAATTGTCCAAGTCCTTCGCATCCCTATTCTTATTATATTTCTTGGGTCTTAGAGTTTTAACACATGTCGCAACTGTAGATGAAGAGACGGCCAGTCTCACTTTTATCCTCTTCTTGTAAATAACCTAGTTTGTTTTTATCTCTTCCAAGCCCATTTTCACCTCCTAAACTTGAGCTTGATGCTTGGCCAATGCTTCAAACACCTTTGCTTCGAAAGCTTTGATAAAGTTAGTAGTTGTATGACAACTCTATATAACACCCTTGTTAATAACATCAAGGATGAAATCTGCAAGTCACTTTAACTTGTTGTCAACTTCCTCCACAACTTGATCTAGCTTCCCAACATCGTCCGTCAATGCCAACTCACATTTAGCCAACTTGGCTTCCAAAGATCTCAATACATCAAGATATCTTGAATGGCCATGGGATTTCTTCCCTTGCTTGTGAGCACCCTCTTGCCCTGGTAGCATCACTTGAGTTGCCATCACTTTCTATCATCGTTCCTTCCTCTGAGATGTGATCTGAAAACCAACACTCTAATACCAACAGTCACGACCCTAGAAAAATCGTGTGACCTTAGTGCACAAACAAGAGATCGAGAACTAAGTAAGCCTAAATAATCCGCAAACTCTCAAAGAAAATTTAAGAAGATGAAGAACAAAAATGGAGAGAAAAACTTTATTGTATTGCTCTCAAATGAATACAATGCTTGGAATATGAATATAACATAAGACTAGTTAACTTTATATAGAAGTTTACAAGTAGATCTAATGGTTCAGATCCGTACAGGTCTATTAAAATGAATGGCTAGGATTAATTATACAAACAACATAATCATAGTCCTATTTTGTTGTCTTTTGGTGAAGGAACATTCTAAAAGCTTGTATAAAGATTATCTACAATATTATTTGATGCTCTTAGGTCAAGCCTCTTAAGCTAGATAATGGGCTTCGTACGAACTTGGACTTGGGTTGGACTTGACACTAGGCCTGATCAAGGCAAGCCCGACCTAGACCAGATTCAGGGTATTTATATCCCAAATTTGTATCCATTTAGGATCAAAATTTGTTATCATTATTATAATAGTGAGTGCATTCGTTCTTTTTTTTTTTTTTTTTAACAAATTACCATTTAGAAAAGGCTTCAAATTTTGAAACTTTAAAATTTTCAACCCTATTGAATATTATGAAGGTTAAATTAGTAATTTCATTCGTAATAATTGAAGTCAATTTTTTTTTTTTTTAAATCGAAACACTAATCAATGTTTGAAGCGTTAATTATTTCAAGTTTCATAATGAATGATCCAAGTATACACTGAATTTTGGAATTTTTAATCCGATTTATATTCTGGTCCAATCCAACTTATAGAAAATTAAAATCCAATCCAATCCAATTTCAATAAAATTACATTCAATTGAATAAAAAATTAATTGATCTCGTCTAAATCCGATTTGATTTTACACTGTATTAAATAATTTTACATTAGACAACTATTATATAATTTAAACATGAAAAAACAATTATATTAATTAGACTAATAATTCAATTATAATTAAAGAGACATAAGTTGGTTATTCCAAAAAAATAATCTTACCAAGCACCAAAACTAAACTTTATGAATAAAATGGACTATAATGCATACATCCATACTGCAGATTTGATTCCAGCACTTGATACTTCGCTAGAGAACAAATGACTTGTAATGGAAAATAATCAGCACTCAAATACTAACCTCCGAGTTCAAGGTTTAATTTCTTTGGCAAAGATAAAATAAAAGTTTATTTTATTTTGTTTATAAAGTTCTATAATTGGATTGGATTGGATTGGTTTTAAATTCAATTTAGATCCAATCCAACTGATAAAAATTAGGATTGGATTGGTTGGTTTAATTAGATCGGATTGATTGGTTTAATCAGATGGAAATGGATTGGAAAAAAGAAAGCAAAAAAGATTAATAAGTGACTCCTATATTATGAGTTCATAAAATAAAATAAAATCTCACATGTAATTATTAATATGAACTTGATCGCATTTAACATAAAATATACGATATGATAGCAAGTATTTTGGCACAAAATTTGACACAATTTTTTTACAGTTGGATTAATATAGTGATTACATAGGTTTGGTTGAAACAAACAAATAAAACCAGTAGTTAAAAAAAGAAACATCACTTAATTTTCTAAGCAAGCAAATCATATTCAGTTCACAAAGATTCTTGAAATAGCTCATCCATCGAAGACTTTGCTCAAGAAATTACTGCATTTCATGGTGCTTCCAAGTTCTGACGCCAATCAGGGGCTATATTTTTAGAGCAATACTACTCTTACAAAGACAAAAACAAAGAGACCATACAAAGACAATTTCCACCCTTCATCTTCATGATTTCTCTCTCTCTCTCTCTCCCTCTTTTTCCGTTTTTTCTTTGTTTTTTCCTTCCTAGTGATGTCACTTTGTAACTCTCTTTGTATTGTCTTTGTAAGGATAGCATTTTTCATATTTTTATCGTTTATCTAACAAACTATCACAAAATCAAAGTAACATATATGGCAAGTTATATGTCCTCGGAGCTTCACAACAACATAAACACAATTCCTTGGTACACAGTCTTCCTCAAAGCATGATTTATCAACAGCACATGAAGACCTTGATGCCATATCTGCTAGCAGTGGCTACTCTATAAGTGGAGCAATAAAATACCACTTTCAAATGAAAACTTCCTTAAAGCAGGAAGTACTAGGTGCAGTCACAGCACAATTAAAATAAAAGACTTTAATACAATATCCTACACTCTTTTCTTCACTTAAAAAGCAGAAAAGCAAAACAGATAAAAAGATAGTCCAAACTCCCCCACAAAGTAAATTGTTTTGACAAAATTATGTTGACAGGGATGTGACCTGTTTATCATTCAACATGTTACTAACAATGCATGAAAGTCCTTCACACTATTTATTTGAAGAAATATACACTTCAGAATGCAATCAAACTAAAATTTGCAATAAGAGAAGTATCTAATGTAATTACAGACGCTAGAGATACACTAAATCACGAATGTGGTAAAACGCTAAAGCAAGCGCTTCACTGAACCATCATATGACTGCAAGTCCATATGTCAAGATAGCTGAATATTTCATAAATATATGCAATTAGCTTATCTAAATAGAAATTTTACCTAACAAAGTTCTCATCTATTTAAAGGAAAAAGAATGCAACTCTTTAACTTTCTAAATATCATCACTATGCATGAGAGAACCAAGGGAAAGAACACTTCAATGCTTATAACAATCATTTCAACCACAGACATTGCAAGTTTCCGAATTTGTATCACAAATTTGATAACAAAGGAATAGCTGATCCAATATCAAACATCATCAGAACATGGTGAGTGGCAAGAATTACTAGTGCGAAACAGCAATCATTTTTCTAATGGGTGAGAGTTTCTGTACAAGATGAACATAATGAAGCATCAATCCATTTGCATCAACACACAAGAATGAACAAATTAGGACCCCAGTCGAGGGCTACCAATTTTCTTGAACAATCTTTGACTTCTCAAGTATGAATTTGCCTTCCTTGTACTTCTGCGACGCCTCATAAGCACGCTCATACTTCCACCCCAACACCTCGTGGCAATCGCCACAGTAAATATCAGCCACAGTGTGCAAACCAGTCAAGAGATGTCTGTCTTCTTTTTGCCCTACAACAACATTCATCGCGTGGGAGAACAGAAAGGCTCTACCATTTCTTCCCTAAACAAAATTATGCAAAACAATGTTGGACTAAAAAATCTGCCCTCAACCCTTTAACTGATTAACTCCTTATCACACCCAAAAGAGAAATTCTATACAAACACATAAATATTAAACCCAGAAATCATTGTTGCAAAAAAAATTGAATATTTAAATCCAATTCTTGGTGAAAATATACAACTGTTCACATGACAAAAGAGATGTCTAATAATTGGTAAAGATATTAAAGCTGCAAAATTTCATACATGGATCTCGGATGGCTTAATCTAATGATAATATAACACAAAATTGTACATGAGAATTTATACCAAGAAAACAAAATTTGAGAGAGAGATTAAAGTGGTGCACCTGAAAAGCCTTGGAAATTATATCATCATGAAGAGAAACATGGTTTCGACAATTACAGCAGCTGTACAATCTTGGCCCAACCAATTCAGCCATTGATCAAAAACCTAAGTGCCCACCAAGGAAAAAGAAAACAAGACAGTTCAAATAGTGTAATTATAAACAACAAAACAAGATAAAGAGAGTAAAAACTGAATACCCAGAAAAAGTCCAGTGATGTTGATGATAAAGAAGAGAAGTAGAAGCAAAATTGTGCTTGAAAAGATGAAGAAGAGAAAGAAGCGTTGGCGTGTAAGATTAGAACAAAGATTATTTCAAGATTGAGTAAAGATTAGACATAAGATATTCAGAGAGTTGAATAAACAAATGAGCATGATAGAGACAGAATTAGTAGTAACAGTAAACAATGAGCAATTAGAAAAGAATCAAAATAAAATATAACCCATTTAAATAAAGTAAAGTAATTATGGTGGAAATGGATGATTGTATTCTTTTCTTCTAGAATGAAATAAAACCAAAACCAAGACTTGAAAATGAAGAAATGGTAAAAGATTAGAGGGTTTAATTAATGTCAATTAAGGATAGGATTAGTGATTGACTCAAGTCAATCAATCAGGTTCATGGTTTGGTTTGGTTTGGCTTCTGCAATTTTTTGGAGTCAAATGGGTTGTTGAAGAAGAAGAAAAGGGACTTAATCCACCCGAGGTTTTGATCAATCGGGGTTAAAGATCAATATTATGATCACCATTCAAATATTAGAAAATACCCCCTCTCAAGTTAAATTCTAATTTTAAAACAATGTTTTTTGAATTACAAATAAATTATTCGTTTGCAGAATCTAGTTAGCATTCCCAAACAGCAAGGGATAAATGCAATTATTGGTTGAAGAAGAGAAGACTCCACGAATCCGCGCGTGAATGCGGGGAATTTTATTGTGATTGTCTACGTCAAGAGATGAATGTACATTTAATAATTGCATGTCTACGCGCGTGCTATTGGATTGGTACTGAAAATATAGGCAATCATACTATATGGAACCGACATGTTCCTTGTCATTAAAGAATCCAAAGTTTTAAAAAATAAAAATGTTTTTAATGAAAAAGGTCTTTAAAATATTTATATTAAGAAGGAGTGGGTGATATTAATGATGAATTTAAATGGAGTAAAATCTAGTTCTATCCAAATTAAAAGCTTTTTAATGTTTTTTTTCTCCTAAACAAATTCGAAAATGAATATAAAAAGTTTGTTTATGTGTTTTAAGAATTTGAAAATGTGTTCATTATTTTTTTTTAAACAAAATTTGAAAATAAAAAATAAAAGAAAATGTGTTCACTAATTATCATACAAAATGAATTCTATAAAAATAATAAATTTTAAATTCAACAGTGGAAAAATAATAATAAATTTGTTTTGTAAGTTAGATTAAATTATCTAAAAATCAAATAAAAAAAAAAAAAACTTGGTACAATTTTCTAGTCGACACGTTATCTTAGAGTGATGCTATTCAACCTCCACCTTTTATTTTAGTTGACCTCAATTACTGGTTTTTCTTTATTACAATTTAATCCTTTATGAAAATTACTAAATAAGACCCGAAAGTATTTATATATAATCCATCTAGAATAATATTTTTTGCTATTAATTTAAATTTTCTATTTGCTTTTCTACATCATAAGCCCTAATTTTATTTTGAAATAATGAAGATGAAATTTCCTTTATGAAAATTACTAAATAAGACTCAATAATATATATAAACATTAAATTATTTGGGTTTATTTTTTCATATTTTATTATTTCTAACTTTCAATTGATTTGTACCTTTACAGAATTTATAAGTTTATCATTCTTTTTTTTTCTTTTTTTTTTTTTAAAGAAAACATATATGATGCCAATCTACACAACCACTTAGTACTTATATGCTTGATTAATATTTAACTGATGATAAAGAAAATGTATATATAAAACAAGGATTGAAAAAGTATAACATGATTAGTAAAAATATAAATATAGGGTTATTATGTAAATGGACAAGGTTTATTCAGAAATCTAGATATGCTTAAAAATTTTAAGGGGGTAAATTTAGAGATGGGGTTTATTAAAAAAAATTACGGAGGCTAATACGATCACTCTTATTTTAGTGTTAAAAATAAAAGTTAGTATATTTTATGAAAAACAAACTTATTAAATTAATGTAATGATTTTTACATCTATAATTATGCAATAAAAAAAGAAAAATCTTAATAAAAGGTTAAAATAATCTATCAACATTTTAATAGATTTCAAATCAATACAAATATTAAGAGGTTTAATCAAGCCAAGCTGAGTATTTAGCGATTCAAGCTCGACTCAGTTGCTACAGTATTGAGCTCAAGCTGAGCTTGAGGTGTTGTGTTCGAGCTTGAGCTTGACACTAAACAAGAGAACTCGAGCTCGAGCTCGAATTAACCTTGCACATTTTTGGCTCGAGCAGAAAATAGAAGAAGAATTTGAAGAAGAAACTAAAGCTCAAGCAACTTTGGCTTGAAGAAAGACAGAAGCTCACAACTCGCTTTAGTTTTCTATTGTAGAAGAAGAAATTTTTTATACCTAAAAAATCAGGGTTGACTTTAACCTACGTCAACAAGCACCAATCAGAGTTCAGGAAGATTTTGTGCCGTCTAGGAGCTGCCACATTGCTCCATGACAAAAAGAATATGGTTGTCACCAACTTAGCATAATCATGTTTTGTCCATGAGTAACTGAGGATCACACACCTATCCAAGCCCCATATAATTTGAGGATATTTCCCAAATTATCAACCAATGGGGGGTAAGGAATGACTTGCACAACACCTACCCACTTGCAGATTTGTAATCATTACCTTGAATTCCTCTATTATAAATAGAGGACTCCCCCTCTCATTTTCAGGATTCTGATACTGAACTCTCATTCTAATTGTAATCTTTATTTTCAGAGTAAAGATAACCTACGAGAAGAGACTGACTTGATATTCTCTCTGAATAATCAGTTATTGTACCTCTGTTCGTTGTTCGCTTTACGCGACCTCTTGTTAACTCTCATATATAAAAGAAACAGTGGATGTAGGATTCACTTTAAGCATCCAAACCACTTTAAAATTCATATCTCTCATTTATTATTCAATCTTTATATATGATTATAATAGTTCACGTGTAATTTCTAAGAACAGCTTAGCACCTTACACATGCGAGTCGTTGGTGTCAAAATCATGCATCAACAGTTTGGTGCTAGAATGAGGGCCTGATTTTATATCCACTCTTCATTCAGAATCTCTTATCAATCAATTCTACTTGTGAACAAATGACTCGTGGTCATGAAACCGAGCAAACTAGCACCAACAACGAGAAAATCCCTTGGGTACAAGATGTTACTTCTCTCAAAGTGCCTCTAATTCATCAAGGTACCACATCGGACATTCCCTTGACCTCTCAACTCAATCCAGCTATGATGAATTACCTGGAGAGGTTTAATAATATTCTCCACTCTCCAAATGGTTAACCGAATGTTAGATCGTTTGGATCAGGTCCTACCGCCCAATTCTAACAAGGCGATACCACCTCCAAAAATGCCTATAGGTTGCGCTAAAGCGTGAAAACGGGTGAAAGCTCATACCATACGTACTACAACATGTAAAAATAAGGGAAAGCAAGTGGTTGACAATGGGCCAAAAGGCTCGAAGGGGCCAATGAATACCGGTCGTGAGGCAGGTAGAATACCTGTGGCTTTGCAACTTGGCGGTATGTCACATCATAAGCCGTCTTACGTCACATCGCATTGGCACTCCCACAAGAGTGCACGACATGGAGATTCCCATTATCGTCGGAATGATGGTTTCGACTACACCGCGAGGGAGATACCCACCGAACACAGGTCGATTCTGACCACTGCAAAGGTCGGGATAACTCCCCTAACCATTTAGTGCATTCACATGGCTCCAGCTAGCATGTGTCAAGGTATGCCGGAGGCTGTGGCCGAGGTGAGGAAGAGTTTGATATGTGGTCTTTCCTCAATCGCAATCGTAGAGAGCAAACCCACATGGCAGAAAGTGATCCTTAGGTGTCTTCGCTTCCTCAGATTGAGGAGTTATAGCGAGCTTTGGATCAACTTAGAGCTCAGCAGAATGAGCGAAGATAGGTCACTGAGTGTCTCTATTTTCTCTAGTAGTTTTGACTGCTCCTCCCCCGTTAAGATTTAGAATGCCCGATATGTGAGTATTCGATGGGAATTCTGATCCGCAGGATCATCTCTATGAGTTTAACGACCTCATAGAGCTTCACCAAGTTTCCAACTTGGCGAAATATCGCTACTTAGCAGTGACTATGACTGCCCATGCTAAGCACTGGCTTAGATCACTTTCGCTAGGATTTATCAACTCATGGCAGCAGATGAGTTCGTTGTTTTTGAGACACTTCCAGGCTAATAGGAAGTTCTCAATGTCGTTGAGCTATCTGAGCAACATACGATAGGAAAGGAATGAATCTCTCCAGTCCTATATCGACAAGTTCTACAGGGAGTTGAACAAGGTGGCTAATACACCTGAAAGTACAGTTCGAACTATTATTATTGCGGGAGTTTGCCCAAAAACTGACCTGTGTAATAAATTGCAATCCGAGGATGATATTTCCCTCACCCGCTTCTACAACTTCACTAAGAAATATCTCAAAATTGAAAATTCAGTGGCTACTTTGAATCGCCACGACCCTGGTCCTTCGACCAACGTTCCCTGTTAGAGGGAGGAAAATCGAGGAGAGAGTAATAGAAGGATTGATCACAAATGGACTAATGACAATCAAAGAAAGGAAAAGAAATAGCGGTTTGAGCCTAGGAAATCTTATGCCTAAGTTCCTCATCGTGATCACGACAAGAATTGGTACACTCCATTAAATGCATCGGTTTTAGCTATTTTGGATAAATCAAAAGAAGCTAATTTGCTCGGAGAGCCAGAGCCCATGAAAAATCCCCTTTCAATAAGAAATAGCAAGAAATATTGCAGTTATCATCAAGATAATGGGCACCATAACAATGAATGTTGAGCTCTTAAGTAGGTTATTGAAGACCTCATTAAAAAGAGGCACTTCATGGATTACGTTGATGGTCCAACTCTTATTTGGGAGAAGGATCAATAGGGCGATGGGAAGAAACGCTATGGTCGCAAGGGTTTCTATTTCATAGGGATTATATTTGGAGGACCACACCTCGCTGGAATTCTCGAGGTACTCAATAGAAATACGCTTGAGAAGTTTGCTATGACCTCTTGAGTGTGTTAAACACGGCACAATGACCTACTAAGGTGCACAGGGAGGAGGAGATTACCTTCTCAGAGAAAGATGTGGCATGATTACATCACCCTTATGAGGAAGCACTCGTCATCGCAGTTGAAATAAATCAGTGTGAAGTCCACATAATGTTAGTGGATAATGGGAGTTTCATGAACATCCTATTTTAGCGAGCATTCAAGGAAATGCAATTGGAAGAGGCAGATCTAAAGCCTGCCTCTATCTCCCTCTATCTCCCTCTATGACTTTATAGGAGATCATCTAATTCCCAAGAGAACGATTGCACTTCCTGTCACTTTGGGTGAGACCCACGAAGTGACCAAGATGACAGAATTTCTAGTGGTAGATTGTATGTCCGCTTTCAATAGCATAT